AACATTACTGATTTTGATCGATATCTCTTATTACTCAATCTATACTTTTCTATCGACATTTTCTATCTACGCTTATTTCAGGGTTTGGGACTGGATCCACCTAGCAATGACTGCGAGGAAGCTTACAGCCCATCAGATGCGCGCTCCTTCACGCCGCCTCCGCCCGAAATCACCAAGTTCGCGCAACCCATCCTCGACAAAGTCTCGGACATCACCATACCGCCAAATCTGCAAGAGATCCTGGCGAACGTCAAACGACAGGAATTCTCCAAAGTGGATCCTTATCTTCCATCTAAACCTAGCGCGTCGTTTCTACCCGCGGCTGGCACGTCACTCTACGCTTCAAACACGGAGAAATATTCGCCGTCTTCTTCCAGAATCAATCAATCGGAGAAAGCGTTGCCTGAGGTTCCGAAAGAGAGCAAGAGCACGTTAAGCACACTAAGCGATCTGGATTTGATCCGGAAGGCGGAGGAGGAATTGGCTGCTGTTGCTGCCGCAACGGCGGCAGCGGCAGCGTCGGCGATGCCGAGCGTGTCCGCGCCAACATCATCATCATCCTTGCTCACATCTCCTGTCCCGAATCTCGCCCTGACGCCGCCGTCCGTCGGTTCGTTGAACGACGCACCAATACCGCCGCAGGCTCTTTCGTCGCTTCCCTCGGAGCCCGTCTTAGAAGCTTCATATAAGCCGACTCCCTCGGACTCCTTCAAGAAGACTTTTGCTCCCGAACAGCCGAAGCCGCCTGGTCTCGAGGATGAGGATTTTCCAGCGTTTCCTTCGACTCCGCCAACGATAGATGTCTCTAAAGCGGCGGCATCTCGCTCGAAAATCTCGCCCAAGACTGGTATCGTGCTGAATGTCAAGCGGAAATTAAGCGACGAAGGTAGTTCACCGTCGCCCTCTAAAGTACCGAGGACTAAATCGCGTTGGGGTCAAGGACCGTCTGAGTAAGCCAGTCGGATCTCTGTGGTACGGTGAACTCCAAGAATATAATCGTTTTATGTATGCTGTTCAATAATACTATTATCGTCAACATTCGAAGCGAAAGAGCGAAATAGTTTGTTCTGCGCCGAAAGAAAACGAAAGAGCGATAAACTATGAAAAACCTGATTGTAACTTGTAACATAAATGTACAAGAAGTACGAAGTGTGGAAATGCGTCTTATATGCGATAAAAAATAATTGTATATGAGATTACAAGCGTAAAAGACAAGAGAAAAAAAGAAAAAGGAGAGGGAAAAAGAGAGATGACGTTCGTATGTTCGACAACAATGAATCATCAATTACGCGTTTGTGTAAACATTCGTCGCGTTCGGAATAAATCTTTATGAAAGATTTTAGACACTATGTATTCCACGAGCGTGTCGAATATAGATGTAGATAGAGCTTCTTCGTGACTACCGAATTTGTAAGAAAAAAATGCGATATCCTGTAACGGGATGTACGATCTATATCAGAGCTTTATCCGCCAGAGAAAAAACTATTCTCTACCTTTCTTCCACAATTTTCTATCCACCACTCCCTTATCAAGGACAAACTTTGTTGAAAAAACGTGAAAGCCGTTGTTGTCCATCTTCCAAATCTCGCTATGTTTATCGACGACGTTCTGCACGTGGCAATGCCGTGGCAGTGGCGGGGAAATCCAAAGAAAGTCCTGACAGATATATCTGCATAAAAGTATCTCCATTTCGCTCGCGTTGAATCGCACATAAAAATGTGAGCATAATTATATTAATGAGATACTAATGCATGCACACTTGCACACATCTACAGATTTATAAACGTTACAGTTATGGAAGAGGTACAAAAAGAAATACGATCCACGTGCGAGTGAGATGTAAACGTGATTCTTACATGCTGTGCGTGCGCGCGCACGCACATATGCACGCATGCGTCAAATTCTCACTCTGATATTGTCATTGTACGCGTTATTATTCTTGTAAATACCAAAGCAAAAAGGTAAATAAAACTCGACGATCATGATTGCGTCATATACGACACGTGGTGTATGAGCGTGACATGGGTATGTATATACATATATATAAGCCGAGTTAAAAAAAAAGTTTCTGTAATATATTTTATTAAAGACTTTTCACACATCTGTGGTCCCCCGTGTTAGTGGTAGCCGCGATTCTCTTATATAAGATTGGATATACGGGGTGTCTGTATTTTAAAATTCGAATGCAAAGATGTGTCAACGGGACACTTGGTTTTCCAGAGAAATCGCAAGTGAAAAAAAGTAAAAGAATTAATATACAATAAATATGATTGTAAAATCATATATGAAGATACATAAATATAATTTTTTAATATA